TGTATTTGATGATTCGAAACTCGATAAACATACTGAGTGGGTAGATAGTGATGAAGTAGAAGTAACTTCACATGAAGAGCAGCAAGTGGATGGAAAAGTAGATGAATCAAATAGTATCCCAGTTGTCAACTTTACGTCAGACTGGATAATAAAAACCCGTTGGCGACAGATGCTGATTAGTTATTATATAGATTAATAATTTTCAATTTATCAAGTTGTATTTTAGAGTTTTTTCTATAAATAAAGTAGTCATAATAAACTATAATACATATATATGTTAGTTATTTACTTTTCATACAAGGTCATTTCGTAAGAACTTTTTTAAATATGCATTAAATTGTCTTCTCTATTTTTAATAGCCGATTCTTACGTAAGAGGGCGGGTTAGATATCTCCTAACCTTTTGTTTCCAAACATGGGGCTGGGGGGCAAAAAGTATTGAAAAAACAGCCTTACGTAATTTGTAAACGTTCCACTACCTGAAAAGTCTATGCCGTCAGTCAAAGTAATTCTTATTCCTATTCAAATATTCATTCTAAAAGAGAGAGTTTATGTTAGTATTCCTTAAAAGTCCTAGCTCATAACAGAGAGATATATTATTATAGTTATCATTAATCTGGTATCCATCAGTGAAACTCTAGAACCATCATGTTCATATTAAAATCTTTTTTTTTTGTACAATTGATGACAATATACAAAGGTAATACGACATAGACATACCCTAGAGGTTGATTCGTTTGTGTTTTCTTGCAAAATATTTCTTCTCAATTCTTCATAAAAGTTATTTCGAAAATTTTCTCCTAGCCCCACAGAAATAGCATGATTTTATTTTGAAAAAAAAATTGAGAAATGACAATGCCAAAACTACACATGCTAGAAGTATGTGGAGACTAAATTAGTCGTTAAGGGCTCTATCAGGCAAGAAATTTGAGGGAATCTGATTTGAATGATAATTGAAAGATGTTAATTTCGTGAAACAAAAATAATTTCAATTTAGGCAGTACTAGTACTGAAAAATGAAGTTCATCTTGCAATGAAAATCAATGTCGATCGAAGTGAAAGCAAATGGATCATCAGAATTTTTTTTGAATCAGATTATTCATAATTGAAAATCATTGGAATTTGGAATCAACAATGTTTATATCCAATATTAAGAACGGGTCTATGAAGGTCAGCTTACATTCTCACATCTACAATATAAAAATATTGAGGCCGGTTCAGTAAACTGGATTCCCCAACACTTTCACGAAGAAATATTCTTTTAACATGAAGCAATTTTATATAAGCCCCACTTTCTTCAGTATATTCTAATTTTTTCAAGGAATTGCGGTTGCGGAATAGCGGTTGCTTAATTGGAAATCCATAGGTCGCTGGTTCAAATCCGGTTCGAAGGAGTATTTTTTGATATACCAGTTCAAAGTTAAACTACATGAACAATACGATAAAAAATTTCTTCTTATCTGTACCTTCGATAGCTCAGTTGGTAGAGCGGTGGACTGTAGTGAGACTAATAGACTGGATATCCATAGGTCGCTGGTTCAAATCCGGCTCGAAGGATAGATTTTTTCCAATTGAATTATGTGAATGATCGACTTTCATTTTTATGACACGGGTTATTTCGTCAGTTTCTATCCTACCTTACAACTCTGCGAAGAAATATTCAATCAGAAAAAAATACAATCAATACCTTCGATAGCTCAGTTGGTAGAGCGGTGGACTGTAGTGAGACTAATAGACTGGATATCCATAGGTCGCTGGTTCAAATCCGGCTCGAAGGATAGATTTTTTCCAATTGAATTATGTGAATGATCGACTTTCATTTTTATGAAACGGGTTATTTCGTCAGTTTCTATCCTACCTTACAACTCTGCGAAGAAATATTCAATCAGAAAAAATACAATCAATACCTTCGATAGCTCAGTTGGTAGAGCGGTGGACTGTAGTGAGACTAATAGACTGGATATCCATAGGTCGCTGGTTCAAATCCGGCTCGAAGGATAGATTTTTTCCAATTGAATTATGTGAATGATCGCTTTTCATTTTTATGAAACGGGTTATTTCGTCAGTTTCTATCCTACCTTACAACTCTGCGAAGAAATATTCAATCAGAAAAAAATACAATCAATACCTTCGATAGCTCAGTTGGTAGAGCGGTGGACTGTAGTGAGACTAATAGACTGGATATCCATAGGTCGCTGGTTCAAATCCGGCTCGAAGGATAGATTTTTTTCCAATTGAATTATGTGAATGATCGACTTTCATTTTTATGAAACGGGTTATTTCGTCAGTTTCTATCCTACCTTACAACTCTGCGAAGAAATATTCAATCAGAAAAAAATACAATCAATACCTTCGATAGCTCAGTTGGTAGAGCGGTGGACTGTAGTGAGACTAATAGACTGGATATCCATAGGTCGCTGGTTCAAATCCGGCTCGAAGGATAGATTTTTTCCAATTGAATTATGTGAACGATCGACTTTCATTTTCATGGAACGGGTTATTTCGTTCAGTTTCTATCCTACCTTACAACTCTGCGAAGAAATATTCAATCAGAAAAAAATACAATCAATACCTTCGATAGCTCAGTTGGTAGAGCGGTGGACTGTAGTGAGACTAATAGACTGGATATCCATAGGTCGTTGGTTCAAATCCGGCTCGAAGGATAGATTTTTTTCAATTGAATTATGTGAATGATCGACTTTCATTTTTATGAAACGGGTTATTTCATTCAGCTTCTATCCTACTTCACATCTCTGCGAAGAAATATTCAAACCAAAAAATTACAATCAATACCTTCGATAGCTCAGTTGGTAGAGCGGTGGACTGTAGTGAGACTAATAGACTGGATATCCATAGGTCGCTGGTTCAAATCCGGCTCGAAGGATAGATTTTTTCAATCGAATTATGTGAATGATCGACTTTCATTTTTATGAAACGGGTTATTTCATTCAGCTTCTATCCTACTTCACATCTCTGCGAAGAAATATTCAAACCAAAAAATTACAATCAATACCTTCGATAGCTCAGTTGGTAGAGCGGTGGACTGTAGTGAGACTAATAGACTGGACATCCATAGGTCGCTGGTTCAAATCCGGCTCGAAGGATAGTTTTTTCCAATTGAATTATGTGAATGATCGATTTTCATTTTAATGAAACAAGTTATTTCATTCAGCTTCTATACTACTTCACAACTCTGCGAAGAAATACTCAATCAGAAAAAATAACAAGCAATACCTTCGATAGCTCAGTTGGTAGAGCGGTGGACTGTAGTGAGATTAATAGACTGGATATCCATAGGTCGCTGGTTCAAATCCGGCTCGAAGGATAGATTTTTCTCAATTGAATTATGTGAATGATCGACTTTCATTTTTATGAAACGGGTGATTTCATTCAGCTTCTATCCTACTTCACATCTCTGCGAAGAAATATTCAAACCAAAAAATTACAATCAATACCTTCGATAGCTCAGTTGGTAGAGCGGTGGACTGTAGTGAGACTAATAGACTGGATATCCATAGGTCGCTGGTTCAAATCCGGCTCGAAGGATAGATTTTTTTCAATCGAATTATGTGAATGATCGACTTTCATTTTTATGAAACGGGTTATTTCATTCAGCTTCTATCCTACTTCACATCTCTGCGAAGAAATATTCAAACCAAAAAATTACAATCAATACCTTCGATAGCTCAGTTGGTAGAGCGGTGGACTGTAGTGAGACTAATAGACTGGACATCCATAGGTCGCTGGTTCAAATCCGGCTCGAAGTATAGTTTTTTCCAATTGAATTATGTGAATGATCGATTTTCATTTTAATGAAACAAGTTATTTCATTCAGCTTCTATACTACTTCACAACTCTGCGAAGAAATACTCAATCAGAAAAAATAACAATCAATACCTTCGATAGCTCAGTTGGTAGAGCGGTGGACTGTAGTGAGACTAATAGACTGGACATCCATAGGTCGCTGGTTCAAATCCGGCTCGAAGGATAGTTTTTTCCAATTGAATTATGTGAATGATCGATTTTCATTTTAATGAAACAAGTTATTTCATTCAGCTTCTATACTACTTCACAACTCTATGAAGAAATACTCAATCAGAAAAAATAACAATCAATACCTTCGATAGCTCAGTTGGTAGAGCGGTGGACTGTAGTGAGACTAATAGACTGGATATCCATAGGTCGCTGGTTCAAATCCGGCTCGAAGGACAGATTTTTTCGAATTTAATTATGTGAATGATCGACTTTAATTTTTATGAAACGGGTTATTTCATTCAGTTTCTATCCTACCTTACAACTCTGCGAAGAAATATTCAATCAGAAAAATTACAATCAATACCTTCGATAGCTCAGTTGGTAGAGCGGTGGACTGTAGTGAGACTAATAGACTGGACATCCATAGGTCGCTGGTTCAAATCCGGCTCGAAGGATAGTTTTTTCCAATTGAATTATGTGAATGATCGATTTTCATTTTAATGAAACAAGTTATTTCATTCAGCTTCTATACTACTTCACAACTCTGCGAAGAAATACTCAATCAGAAAAAATAACAATCAATACCTTCGATAGCTCAGTTGGTAGAGCGGTGGACTGTAGTGAGACTAATAGACTGGACATCCATAGGTCGCTGGTTCAAATCCGGCTCGAAGGATAGTTTTTTCCAATTGAATTATGTGAATGATCGATTTTCATTTTAATGAAACAAGTTATTTCATTCAGCTTCTATACTACTTCACAACTCTACGAAGAAATACTCAATCAGAAAAAATAACAATCAATACCTTCGATAGCTCAGTTGGTAGAGCGGTGGACTGTAGTGAGATTAATAGACTGGATATCCATAGGTCGCTGGTTCAAATCCGGCTCGAAGGACAGATTTTTTCGAATTTAATTATGTGAATGATCGACTTTAATTTTTATGAAACGGGTTATTTCATTCAGTTTCTATCCTACCTTACAACTCTGCGAAGAAATATTCAATCAGAAAAATTACAATCAATACCTTCGATAGCTCAGTTGGTAGAGCGGTGGACTGTAGTAAGACTAATAGACTGGATATCCATAGGTCGCTGGTTCAAATCCGGCTCGAAGGAAACTTTTTATATGTATATTTTCCCGTTTCATTCTTCCTTTGAAGTGCTTCACTATGAAGTGTACAAATTTCAATGTTTTCATTGCAATGGTATTTCATAGGATGAACTAAGTAACATCGATTCAAGAAAGGAAGTGGTTGACTTTATGAACCATGTAATCCGTTCAAAAAAACTAAGGGTCAGTTTTTGATTCAACGAGTTAAATTTTTAGTTGAATAGTTCAATTAATACATTAGTAAAGAAGTTTGAATTCATTAAGTTTTCAAATTTGTTGGAGAGTTTTGTAAAAGAGCTTCTTTTAGCGTTAGATAATCATAAGCAAAAGAATATAGAATAATGTAAGAAACAGCTAATTTGAGGTTAAATAAAATGGCTGAGAAAGTAATATTTAGTTCAGAATATGAATCATAATTCTGTGTAAAATGAACTGAAATGATACTAAATTTCAATCTATTAACAACATCTTGTATCTTGTAACATCAAATGAGATTAAAACTGAAAGAAGCCATAAAAAAAATTTGCGTTTCTTATTGAAGAATAATAAAAATATTTGAGAAATGAGAAGATTTCCATAATTCGTAGATATTCCATTAATTGAAAGTATTATATTATAATGTATTAATGATAATAATATTTTAGATACAATGTTTTACTCTATCTAAAATATTACCTAGTCAGTGTTTTTTTCATCTGAATATATCAGTTAATCTTGGTTCATATATTCTCACTGAATTCAACTATTCATTTTGAATGAATTTTTCTGATGAATAACCAGGAGAATTCAATATAAACTTAAATTCAAACACTTGAACTTATGATTTACACTTCATTAACTACATAGCATAGCATGCTATGTATTCAATAAAGTGTAAATCATAAGTTCAAGTGTTTGAATTTAAGTTTATATTCAATTATAATGGATTTACATCAAGTAAACGCCAACACTATTGAATATTTAAAAGAGAATTCAATCAATTGAATTACTGATTCACATTTTTATATAAAATTGTGAATCGAAAATTCAAGTAATTCAACTCATCTCATATTAATTACAATTAAAGTGTACCAACAAAATGCCAATACTATTAAATATTCCCATATTCTTTATATTTGAAGATGAAAGTCATCAGATGAATAATAAAAAAACTCCTTCGAGCCGGATTTGAACCAGCGACCTATGGATGTCCTTTATATCATATCATCTACAGTCCACCGCTCTACCAACTGAGCTATCGAAGGTTGATATTATAAAAACGACGAATTCATTATTATCGAGATAGTGAAAGTAGATCAAAAACAGTCGTCGTTTGAATACTGAATTGGAGGCTGAAATTCCAAGTAGTAACTGAAATATATTCACCTATACCTTGAAACATTCATAGTTTCTAGCGTTTTGTGGATGATTTTGTGACATATTCAACGTCTGTGGAAAATAGAAACTAGACACATTAATGTCATTTACTTCACTTAATAGTAAGGATGTTATAAAATAGTTAATCTGTTGGTCAAAATAATGAATATATGAAATAAAATATCGACTTGAACGAAAACAGTAACACACATGAGAAAGTGAAAAAGAGGAAATTATGAAAGTTATCATGCAATAAATGAGCTCACGTTCAATTGCAAAATGATTTGAGAAGGAATAATAGACCAATAAAATTGAAAAACTTATTTGTAATTAACGCTTCACTACAAATTGCAGCGTGGTCAAAAATTTAAAATGAATAATTTCCTCTAGCAGTAGGTACTAAAATGACCAAAACAAAATAATCATTTAAATTCAATTTTCTCATTTATCAGAGAAAAAAGTCTCTCTTTCATCATATGATGAAATTTCAATACACTGTTGCAAAAAATTCAAATAATATATGCTTTCAACTTTTTATTCTTTCGATGTTATTTCGTTGTTATCTTTCTTTCTTGATTATGGTGTAAAACACCACTTCAATGAGTGGTGCTTTTCACATGAACTCTCCGGGATGGAAAAGCTCATGTTAGGAAACATGGGTTGTTCTTTAGCAGGAGGGTTTTTTTGTTGTTGTAATTTTCCCTCTACAGTTTAGTACACCTGGACCTTATCTAAGCCGTTCTAAAGAGAGCAAACAAGCTCGAATCACGTGTCAACGGATGTTTCAAATTGCGGGTTATATTCCCTATCTCTTCCAGGCAACACCCAGCCAATCCACAAGCTCCTTATCCCATCGATCATGAGGGCGCTTTCTTGGTCTTACCCTGTCTCTGGGCATCAACCACAGCTCACCAACGCTCATCTTCTGTTCGAGCTAGATGGCCTGCCCATTTCCACCTTGACCTTTTTACACACACTACGACATCCTTCACATTTCTCTGAACTCTTATCCAGCTGCAGCGTATTATATCTCGTATGGTTAGGCCCATCATGTATCAAAAACAAAGATGATGCTGAACCCTTTCTGCACCGGAGAGCAGATGGAGATGGATGGATCCCCATTAGAAATAGCAGCGTCTTACACATATCTGGGACAGATTGTCACGGGAGACGGGGATACTACACCGGAGACCATGCAAGGAACCAGAACAGTTTTGGGTATAGTTGACCGAATGAGATACATCTTCAAATCAATATGCCACTATCCTTCAAGAGCAAAGTGTTTGACCAAAGCGTATTACCTGCGAATCTTGGACACTAAAATCTGCTCACACACAGAAGCTTCGAATAACCTAGCGGAGTATCGAAAGATACATGATGGGAATAACTATATATATATATATATATATATATATATATATATATATATATATATATATATATATATATATATATATATATATATATACATATACATATTAATTGAATTTAGGTAACAGGAATAATCCTTCTAGTGAAGTGTTTGAAAACTCATTTATTCATAACAACTCTCGATATTTCGGCACATTTGTGTCTTCTTCAGGAGAAAAACAAGCTGAAAGGCCATGTCTACAATGATCAAATTGAATATGTAAAAAAGATGAAACTACTTACGATTTGTGCTATTTATTTTTAAAATTATAGCAAATTCAAGAAACAAATGTACCTTCGGACTCGGAATGAAACTTCAAGACTGCCTTTTCATATAAATTGTTAATATAGTACTATTTTAGCCATGAAGAAGAAGAAACCATTTTCGAAAGCTTGGAAACTACTGAAGAGGTAACTTATTTTTCTGTTCTGGACTGCAATCCCAATTAAATACTGCAAAAACATATCTACAATATACATATATATATATATATATATATATATATATATATATATATATATATATATATATATATATATATATATATATATATATATATATATATATATATATATATATATATATATATATATAGGTAAAAAACCTATTGAATGGAGGTATATGTCTCTGTAAAGGTAAAATTGAGGGAAAATCTCTCATTTAGAATCCCAGCCTGCTCTGCTCACCACTGCTCTTAGAGAATTTCAAAACCCAACGATCCTCCAGCCTGAACTAGCGCTACTTCCGTGTTCATTAAAATGCCTCATTTGTTTAATATTTATGCAGCATGAGGCGCAAAGACGGAAACGCAATTCGAACCTGGGAAGCAATTAGAAGCAACCGTAATAGCAAAAATTTCCACATTAAATTACAAATCCCGCATAAAAGTACAATGGCTGCCGACATTCCTAGAGCTGACTACACGAGTATGAGGAAACGAAAAGCGGGCCATGATGTGTTGATGGAGATCTGGTACACGAGCATGCCAGATAAGAAAGATTAAAGTGAATGTTTACTGTTAGTTTAATAGTTCCACGGTGCACCATTGAATCTAATTTTCGGGACTTACTTGTTTTCTGTTCAGTTTAGAATCTGGAAAACAATGGAAGCTGGTGGTTTTCAAGATACACGACAACGTCTTCCATTCTTATTGAAATTATAAATATTTGTTTTTGTTCGTGTTATGCGTGTTGAAATGAATTTCTATATTATGAGTGTAAGTTATTTGTTATAATATGAATTCTATATTATTCTTTAAGATTCGAAATTGAATTGTGACATACCTACGTTGAGTATCAATTGACGAAAGTGGTTCATGAGGTCTCATATTTTAATTACAAACAGGGTATTATTTTTTTATGTATATTTCATTTCATAGCATGTTTAGAGCTTCATATATTCCATTGAATTTGTGAGATGTTTCTCAGATATCACGAAACTTGATGAAAATTGCCTTTTTTTACATATCGTTGTATGAATAAGGTTATAAAGCCAAAGGGCCAGTTTCAAAAGTTATCATTTCCACTCATATTGACCTTTGATTACATGATAGAAGTAATGTTCGATATTTTTTCCCACATAGTGCGAAAATCAAAAATTTTCTGTAATTTTCGATATATAACTTTTTTTTAAGAAGTGGCTCAAAATTTTATGGTTGAAGGGTATCCAGGAATTTCTATAGTTTTAGGAAACAATATGTAAAAAGAAAAATAGATAACTCCATAAACAATTGTAATGATTAACAATTATTAAGTCATTACATATTGCATAGCCTTTATAGCGGGCTTTGAGCGCAGCGACCGAATCAGGAAGTTACGTAACGAAAATAAAACCTAACACCCTCCACTCCGCCTACCATGTAGCTCGGCCGAGTGTTCGCTAAACATGTATGTATATGGTACTACTCTACAGGCGCTCAATTGTTTGAGATATTTGTGCGTGCTTATGCAAACTTAGAAATGGCCTACACATAGTCATGGAAGCAATTTACATTTCTCCGAATCAAAAATTCGACGTGGTAGAGCATTTTGTTTATTGCACTTTACTGGAGTACACTGAAGAAGGTTCGAAAATACTTGGTACAAATGGTAATGAATTTCCACTTATCTTGGCTGGCGATTTCAACATCAACTTCGACGATAAAAAATCAGAGTGGTTGACAACTTTTCTTTCGGAAAAATTGAATTTGAAATTTAATAATGATCCACAAGAATCCACAATGAAATATGGAACCACCAT